GCTGGTGCAATTGCATTAGAAAAAGTCCAAAATGATCAGTACAACAACTAGTTTGTATACTTTCTAGCTTCTTGATATATATAATGCTTTAAGTCAGAAGCTGTTACAAATAATCATGCACTTGCAATAGAAAAACAACACTGCAATTTGGTCATTGGTGCTTATAAAACAATTGATATATTGTAGAACCATAGAAAACATTTGTAGATTATAACTCCACCTTTCATAATTTATATTATTATCATATAAATAATGATTGTCCCCAGTAACATACTTTATTCTAAATGCAATCAAAACATGCATAAAAACATACAAATAAAAATATTTGAAAGCCAACTTAGTTGATATAGAAAATAGAATGCTTTTATTAACAATAAATATATAAACAATCAATATGATTATTCTGTCAATTCCTTCAACGATTGAACGTCACATCAATTTTGTTGTTCAGCACCTGTTCTTTTTTTTTTTTTTTACTACTTAATACTGGTTATCCTCTCTTTTCCAAACAAATTAAGTGTTTTTTTTTTTTAAGTTAAAAGTACTTGTGGTAGAAAGAAATAAGTTTAACTTTGGGTTAACTCAAGATTTTGTGAAAAAAATATAAATTCTTAAAATTACAACATCATACTTGAAAAAAACTTTCTGCAATAATACAAAATATATATCAAAATATTATATAAAATATTGCATATCTAAGAAAGCTACAAGTGAAAACAACTATTGAGACAGGCAAGAGAGACCTAAATCCTTTCAAAAGGAGGGATTAGAGATTTCACCTTTAAAAAAATTATGTAATTAATTACTTTTAGTTTTTTTTTTTTCATCCAAATTTGCATTAGATTTAATATTGGAACGTGACTGTTACGATAGTTTGCTTGAACATTGAAAGACTATATATTTTCTTTAGTGATTTAAATTATAAGTCTTAATCATTTTAACATTTGATTTCATAAAAAAAAATATTTTAGTTTTAATTTAAAAAAAATTATTTTTAATTATTTTATTTTATTTATTTATTTTATTAGTAAAAAATTAAAATAATAATAATTTTTTAAAATTAAAATAAATTTTTTTATAAAGTTAAATATTAAAGTATTGAATGCTTAAAATTTAAAGGATTATGCACTTTAATTCTTTAAATTGTATGCATCAATTATTTGAATCTTTAATTTTTAAAAATTATTTATTATAAATATTTTTTACTTCATTCTTATTATTATCTTATGTTAAAAAAATTTATAAATGTCATTTTATAAAATTACTAGTTAAAATTTTTAATATAAAATTAAAAATTAAAATAATCAATATTTAAAATTTAAAGAAGTTAAACGAATATTGAATTTTATCGTCTAAAAATATTGATTTAATATTTATTAACACATATAATCTTCTATGTATATTTATTTACCTTTAATGAATAATTAATCGAATTTTATATACATTTATTATTGATTAATGATAAGGTTCTTATTTACGTTCATTTATTCTTTTCTTTTCAAATCTAGTTACATATATGGCTCAAATTCTCAACCCAATTTTCTAAAAATAGTTGAATTGTTCAAATTCTAACCATACACATATATACTCCAAATAATTAACATGTCCTGAAGGTAGTTGCATTATGTTATTAGACATCATCAATAGGTTAGTTGCATTAAAACTAGTTTTGCAGCTGCTTCCCCCTTAGTTTGTATAGCAAATTTTATAATGTTATCAAAACTTTGGTCGTCAAGAGAGCTTGAGACACTGGGAAATCCCCCATCAACCACCTCACTGCAAATTATGCAAGTGACTTAACCACTAAATTCAACCCAAAAATCTAAAAACATTACTTATTTAAAATTTTGTTATTCATATATTAACTTGTTTATATTTTTTATATCTTTACTATTCACGTCCTTTGAGTATTTCTTATTAGTATAAATATCTTAACCAGTTACACATATACACTAATACACGTCCTTCGATGAATCGACGCTGAGAACATTCCTGAAGAATAAAAATTTTGTGAGATTTCAAATTAACTGTCTTGTATTTTTAATAAGTTATTCTATAATTGGCATAATGAATTGTATATATATAATAAGTCAGTTTAAATCAATTATAACCCAATGATTTTCAAAAACACTATATATATATATAATTTTTAAATTTTATATATAAATAAATAATCCAAAAAAAGAGTTATAGTCTTTTTTTTTTTTTTTAATTTAAACATTGTTTGTTGGAACTCTAATATGCATAGATTTTGAGTGTATAAGCGTGTGTTACCTTTTAAAAGCAAACTTAAAATCAAGTTATAAAAGCATTGTTAAAGAGTTATTTAATTAGAAGAATGGGAAAAGTTAAAAAAAATTTCAAAACATTTTTAACATTGGTTTTTTGAACTCTCTGTTATGAAATTTTTCTTTCGTACTCTCTTGAATTATTTTATGATTAAGATTCTAACTTTTTTTTTCTTTTCAAAATATGTTAGTTTTTAAAGTGATAATTTTTTTTAAAAATTATAAAAAAATATAAATTTTAAAATTATTAATTTTTAGAGAAAAAATATTTAATTTTTTATTTCTTGAAAAAGATAAAAAAAAATACGATATAAAACGCAGTAATATTATTTACATGATTAAACATTCATCACCTTCTCTTTTTAACGTTAAACATTTAAATAAGAGACATATTTAATTCTTCTTTCCTTTTTCTCTCCTTTCTCCTCCTCGCCCTATTTTCTTTTTTTCTCCTTTTTCTTTTAAACTCTCAAACAAAGCTTAAGACATTAAAAAAACTTCCATCAACAACCTTACATAAAATTATACTAGTGAATTAAACACTAAATTCAACCTAAAAGTCTAAAAACATTACTTTTTTAAATTTTGTTATTTATATATTCTTAATTTATTTATTTTTATCTAATATATGATGTTTTTGCTTTATACATGACACTCTTAACAGTGTGTTATCCTTTAAAAAATAGATAAAAATTAAAATAATTTATCCAAATTAAATTACAAGAAAACATATTGAATTTAATATGATGTAAATTCACGAAACATTGACGTGGATCTACTTAAAGAAGGCTATGCATCAGATTTGCGTGAAAACAAGATAGATTTGAAATGAACATATATAAAATGGTACCAAGAACACATTCAAGAATTTGCATTTAGATTTTAACATAAAAAAAAAAATCCAGACAAAAAAAATGAAAAAAAAAAAGTTACATTTAGATGATAATAAGCCAAAGAAAAATAGCTACAATAAGTGAAAGTTTTGATAAAAGAAAATCCAAGATTGAGTTTCTCCAAGAACTTAAGAAATGAGAGTTTAAGCTCAGCTCAAGAAATTCTGAAATCTAATTCATCAAATGATCAAAAGATCCCAAATGTTTACAATACAAGCCTTATAGAGTCCAGAGAAAGTGACGCCAAGCATGGCCAAGTTCAATTCGAAAGTGGCACCTAAGCTTAAGCTTAATTAAGCTAGATTGGTCCTAACTAAGCCTGAACCTATATGAATTAAAATTCAACTAAATTAGAAATAGATTACATTATACCTAAATCAATGAACAGTTACAATTAATTGAATAAAAAATAGTAAAAATATTATCATTCAAAGTTTAATTAAAGTTGCTGCACACATAGGCCACTATTTGATCTGAAGCCTTTTTGGTAACCTTAATTTTGACCTTCAAATCTACCAAATTAGCTACCCTTGCATGTAAGCTTAGTGGTCCTTCTTGGATTTAAAATTAGTTCGGAATTGATGATATGTCGAAATCAAAAGAAATTGAGTCACAAATTTTTTTAATAATAAGATTGGGTGGTTTATTATTTTAAATTAATACAAATTAAAACAGAGTCCTAACCAAGAGTGGTTAGAGTTGAGGTCATTTTTTAAAATTTAACTCATCTAAAATAAAATGTGTAAGAAATAATGGTGTATTCACATTTTAAAAACAACTATGATTTTTTTGTCTTTTACTGAATATTTTAATAAATGTGAAATTAATTCCATTCGAAATATTGAGAACAACCTTCGTAACTTTATATTTCCCGGGCTTCAGGATGGTGATGACTCGACATTAGATTTAGAAAACTATACTAGTTATTCTCTTCGATTCGATTCTCTCACGGACCAACACAGGATATTATTATAGTGACATTGGTTACAGTTGTTTTATTAAAAAAGAAAAAACTTGGGAACGGAGAAAAATAAAAGAAATATATCTTTTATTATTTATTTTTAAGTTTACTATTATATACAGAATTTCATGTCAAATGTTGTCGGTTTATTAACAAATATCTTTTCTGTAATCGAAGGTTTTTTATATTAGAAAGGTTACAAAATCTTCTGATTTTTTTGGGTGGGAAAGGGTTAATTTAACCGTAATAAAGGTCCCGATTGATATATTCAATACGACATATATCTGGAAAAATTAAACCAAGATGATGCCTTCTTGCTTTTGCTTTCAATATTCTCTTCTGATTTGTTGACCAGGTAAAGTAACTATTTAGCTTTTTAAAGTGAAAGATGCATAAATTGTGAAATTCAGGATGTATCTAAGTTGATTAAAAAAGAGAGAGTTAAATTTTAGGAGATATTTTATTTTAAAGTTAAAATGAATATATTTTTATTTTATTTTTATACTTTTATGTTTTATTACCTTAAGGTGTCAAATTCATTTAATTAAGACAAATGTTTATCTAATAATTTAAGAATGGTGATTAAAAAATTAAAACAAATATTTTTTACTAATATATTAATTTATCTCCATTATAATTTTGAATAAAAAATATTCATTAATTTGTTAGCTATATTAAACTCTTCTTCAGGGAATTGAAGTAATCATTAACAAAGGAAGATGCAAACTCGTGAAACAAGGGCAAAACGTTGTCGTTGTCGTTGGGATGTCTTGCTCAGTTAGTTTGCTGTTTACAGCGTGTCTTGCAGCTATGTTGTATTGTATTGTATTGTAGCTTTTACTTAAAGGAAGAATAGTTCTTCCTCTACCATACTCCTCCCATTTCAACTCTCTCTCTCTCTCTGCTTCATAGTTCAAACAATGGCAATGGCGTTGTTCCACTTCTCTTTGCTTATCTCTCTCCTCCTTTCTTCCATTCTCTTGTCGAATCACTCAGTCAAATGCGATCATGGTCAGTACTCTCATACTCTCTCTCTCTCTCTCTAACTATTGTCTTTTTGGATCACCTATTTCTGATAACGCTCAAATTATTACTATCTTGCTTTTATTGTATGATTGCTTTCTCTCGGTGACTTAGATTGCTCTAAACTGTCATCAAGTTTGCGACTTTAAAGTCTATTGCTTTCTGGGTAATATGTCTCTCTGTCCTTATTTTTTTACCTTTTCTTGTGTTTGAGTTTCTCATTGGCCAATGTGAGCTAGATCTATTTGGGAGAGCGATTGATCTGCCATTGATGAGTCTTTGGCTATAGTATACCTTTTTATTTTTAATGTTAATCGTAAAAGATCTGCTCATTTGAGTTGAGTGCTGCTGAGTAACATACTTAAAATTTTGAATTTCATTATGCTATTGCTTTTCAATGGAAAATTATTTAAATTTTTATATCCAAATTTGTCAATTTGATGGGATGGTCTTTGAGTGACCTAATTGTCCACTAATAGAAATATCATAGAGTTCATGTTCCTAGTGATCTAATTTTTCATTAATATTGTTGATAAAGCATTCAGAGCTTGCTACTAGAGGTCACAGAATCCTGTTCCTGTCTTCCATTTAATTCACATACAGTGACATGATCAGTTTTTACTTTTTTTGGAGTTAACTTGTAAATTAAAGAGCTATAATTCATTTAGATTCGAATGCAAGTTATTTGAGTGGATTGTCTTTATAGATCATTCTGTGTGTTGATCACTGCTGTCTTCCCATCTTCTGATTTTCATGCGAATCTATGCTGTAGTAGCACCGTATATCAAAAACTAGGAAAGAATTAAATCAGAATAGTTATGCTCCATGAAAAATCTCTAGTATCATCTGACTTCTCCTTTTCCTTGCACACATTCACATAGATATAACCTTACACGTCAAAGTTAGACATCTAGAGATAACACTGACCTCAATATTTCACTGCAGGTGAGGAGGATGATCTTTATCAGGGAATCAACAAGTATCGGCAATCATTAAACTTGACATCTCTAACAATGAATGACAATGCAAATTGCTTAGCTGAAGAAATAGCTGACCAGTTCAAGAATCAACCTTGTACAAATGACACAGGCGCTAACACAGTACCAGGTACAGAGCCTCAGTTCTCCAACTATCCGGACCTTTTAAATAAATGTCACTTGAATATTTCTAACACAAGGGATGGATCTGTAATGCCTGCTTGTGTTCCTGGCCTGGTTCCGAGCCTTGTCCTTGCTAATTTCACACAATCTCTCTACTCGGATAGTCTCAATGACTCCAAGTACACAGGAATAGGTATTGGTTCAGATGATAACTGGATTGTTGTCGTACTGACCACTAACACTCCTGAAGGGAGCTTTGTTCCTGAGACTTATAATGGTGCCAATTTGATTTCTAAAATTAGATTTATTTACTGCCTAATGCTCTTGTTAGTTGGTAACTTTTTCCTGCTGTGAACAAGAGGAGGCTGTTCATTGTTCCCTTTTTTAAGCATTGTTAATATAGATGGTCGCGGTATAAGTGTTGTTTCAATATTGCAAGCCTCTTTAGAATGGTAGAGTAAGAGGAATAGGGGGAAAAGGCATTTTTCCTCAAGGGCTGTTTTCTTACTGTTGTCATTATCAACAGTTTTCTTTTTCTTTCTTTTTCTGAAAGCATTACATTTGCCAAATCAGAATAGGAGGCAATAAATGTAGCATTGATAATGATGACAAAAAACTAGTAATTTATTTCAAAATGCAAATGTTGTTGCTTATTTGATATTTGAGGCTGCTAAGTGTGTGGTTCCATTACCATCTGAATCATTTTCAAAGGTGTTTAAAATACGATACTATGGTTGACTTTCATATTAGCGAATCCACCTTGAAGATTCCCATCTAAAAGATTACTACTTTTGATATGTTTTTGAATATGTGCTTAACAATATCAGAAAAAGAGATGGAGCCAATTGCAAAGAAGGGACTCTACCTGCTTGATACACCTTGTGATATATTTTGAATGTGTGCTTAACAAGTTGACATATTGGGAACGACTCTTCCATTTATGACCTTCCGAAAAATTCTGTAGGAGAGAAATGTCCCACTATTTATTGCATTATAGGTTGTTATCTGCTGGTAAATTTTACTATAAAAATTGCTTAAATTGATCATTTTAATGAGGTTGAAATTGCAAAATAGCATAAGGCAGTCGCAAATATTAGCTATGAAGGGGTACAATTATCTGCTTTTAATATTTGAAAATTTTAATTAAAATTGAAATGACGTGTAATGAACTCGACTATTAAAATGAATTGCTCAAATACAGAATCTTATGCAAAGTTTATAGATATTGGGTACGTGATCCAGGCAATAAAACGGTCGAACAACCTATTATGAATGCATAATAGCTAAGTTTCTCTCGGCTCTTATCCATCGTAAACAGAAGTTGGGATGAACGGAACTTTTTCTCCTTTCATGGAAAGAACTAATCTCAGCCCGCTGTTTTTAAGGTTGTACTGTCAGACAACCTTAAAACAAGCGAGCTGTTAAGTCATTTGAGGCAAACGTTTGCCCCTCACCGTAAAAGTTACAACATTTATCCTATTCACTTCAGAAGTTATGTTTTTAGAGGTTTAAATTCATGTTTATCCTTTCGAAGAGACTTAATCCACATCCCAGTCAAGAATTTTCTTAGGAAATGATCATTTCAGTATTCATTTTTTTGGGGGGGTCGTATCATTTCGGTATTCCTAGTGTTATGTTCTTGACCATAAAAGTCCATGATCTTGGCCTTGATTAAAACTGAGCCCACTTCCCTTGGAACTAGTTTTTAATCTTCTCTTCATTAAGTCCCCCTTTGTTTCCCCTTCTGGGCTGGGAGCCCATGAGAAAATAAGTTCAAATTACAAATGGGACAGGCCTAGACCAAAATCTTACGAGTTTTTATTTTAAATTATATTTAAAAAATTTCTCTCTAATCAACAATTCAATTAAAAATTATTTTGAAGTTTTTTAATTTTTTCATTCAGTATTCAAACTTCTTTTAAATTAACATTAGGCACAGTAATCTATTTTAAAATTACTATTAAAACAATATTTTGTTAATTAAATCAATCTTCTCTTAAGTATCTTTTACTCTATATTCTTTTATATCTTATATGTATTGGTATGAATACTTATATTTTGGATTTGGGGGCACTTGTTATTTTGTTGATTGAATATTAATCTGGTGTTATTCGACATTAATGTAAGTGGAGGAGATCAGCTATCTATAGGTGCGATGCATTAATCCTCTTTTGAGCCAGGTATGCGTTCTCTGTATCTTCTTTTCGTGAAATTATGTTATAATGGATGCATTTTCCTGTTTTGGTATAGTGAATGAGTCCATGCAGAAGAAATCAAGGACCACCGTGGTCTCATATATGTTTGATATTTAAAATTATGCTTATTTAATTATTGAAAAGTGTAAACTAATTTACAATGAAACCGTCTTAAAGAACAACATGCCATATTAGTGAGATTTCTCTCTCTCTCTCTCTCTCTCTCTCTCTCTTGGTGAAATGAATATATCGTTTTTAAAACCTCTACTTACTGTTAACCAGATAGGTTCATTTATTAATTTTCCGGTTACGAGTTTTATTTTCAATTATGATGTTAATTATAAATAATATTATTACACTTCCTAAACTTCTTTCGTTAGAATAAAAATGTTAAGAATGTGTTGAAATACAAAAAATTATGAAAAACATTTAAGATGATACGTGTTTAAAAATACATTAAAAATTTTATAAAATTACATAAGTTTTTATAAAATTAGAAGTTACAACTATTAACCATTGATTCCGTTGTATTTTTCACATATTTTTAATCATTCATGCTTGGCTCTCTTCTTTTTAAGGTGTATGCACCCCTCAAGTGTGAAAAAGCCATTTTTGAAAGGAAAAGAATCAAAATTATTCATGAATATGGTAGAGATATGTGATTGTGGTTTGAAACTATCATTTAAGTATGGTCAAATAATGGGACCTACTTCATTCTGATCTTTAGACAATGTTAGAGATATAAACCATTCTTAAGTCAAAAGATATTAAGCTGAGAGTTGATCCTTGATAGATTTTGTTAACTTGTAATTTTCAAGTTTCAACTCCACTAAATATATGGTCTTTTGGAGTGTTGCAAGCACTGTGATAGAGGTAACCACAGAAAGCCTTCATGGAATCAACAATCTCCTCCAGAAGTACTCGAAGCCTCACTAAATGCAGGATATAGATCTAATTTTGCTTTTTAATTTCATTATATTTGGCGGTGTTAGAGATATAAACCATTCAAATGATTCCATTTAATAGCCAAAGTCTATGAATATTTGGTGCTTGACATTATGAGAGGCTCTCTTATGATTTATGATCAAATAGTTAGGAATTTCATCCTTTCCGTCCCTATTCCTCAAGCCTTGATCTACAATGTGATAGAAGATGTGGGCTCTATAAGATAGAAGCGGGAAAAGGAATTCATAATGTTGGTATTTGGCATATCAAAACTATTTAGTTCATTTAAATCAAATATGGACTTTGAAGGCAATCGATTGAAGGCTCCATTTCATTGTATCTATGTATGTGAACTGTTAAGTGTCACTTTTCTGTAAACCAAACTGTTTCAAACAGAAAATAGAGAAAACGACAACTTCATTGACCCCCTTAGGTACTAGTTGTTTTCATGCATAGTTACAATTTTATTGAAAGTCATATTTTCCTGACGTCAAAGACCGCACCAGATTATAAGAAAATGATTAATGTGGGTATGAAGGGGCAAGAAGCTGTTTTAATTGCCATATGTTACCTGCGGTTTACCCGGTTTGTCTCCGTCTTTCCCAAATTAATCATAATTTGGATTATTGGAGCATGTTTTCGTTGATTTTCTTTGAATATGGATCATTGAAAAAAACCCATTAATTATTTTGTTCCCAAGAATTGATCAAGGCAATCTATTCGGATCTTTTGCTCTCTTTTCAATTAGTGTTTTGGTCAAAGAAATAACAAAAGCTGCACTTTTTTCTTGATATCTTTTGAATCACACAGTGTTGATCAAAGTTGTCAGCAGGACCCCCAACAATGAGAGAACATGATGAAAAGGAAAAGAAAAATTAGAAACATGGGGCTGAATTTTGAATTATAAGAAAGGAGTAAAGTGAATGATAAGATGTTTGTGTTGATAGAGGGAGACGCGTCTTTTTCTCTTTGGTGGCATAACGTGAAAGAACTAGATTCTGGGATATCAACCTGATATGGTAAAGATCCACGAAAATATCATTTCGTAGATAGGGTGAGAGAAATCAACTTGAAAAAAGGTGTCACTTTCTGTGGTAGACCAAAACAAACAAAAGCTTAATTGGCTATAAATTCTAAAAGCTTCACCCCACTTTTCAGTGGTTTCACCGTCAGTAACATTTAAATTCATTAGGCTCGTAAGATTCTTGGCATTTATGAAAGATTCTTACATAAGTTCCAAAGTTTTCTTGGTCGTTTTGGTAACACCACTAGCTCAATAAACAGTTCGCACTGCTTTTACAATTCCTTTCAACACCCCAATCCTTCAGGAGTTGAAAATTACGTATATTAAAAAGTTGTTCATCCATCAATCCCTCGACAAAAAGAAACAGAGAAAGAAGTAAGAAAGACACGTCGAGAAATCATCACAAAATCTTGTGAATATGGTCTAAAGCATGCTATTGGGAACCGTACGCGTTGTGACCAACATAATGCTAAGGAAAAAAGAAAAATCAAAGATTGTCAATTATGCCTCCAAATTCTGAAGAATGTGTCACGATTCTCGTGAATATACTCTTGTGTGTAGGTTAGGTGGCATATCTGCCTCCCACCTCTTTTCATGCCAAACAAAAATCTGTTTATCATCACAATATCATTTTGCTCACTATCTCAAATACAACCATGTTCTTAAAGGAGCCTCTGTGTTTGGTTCTCTAATTTTGCATCATAGCTAGTTTTTAACCATTGTTTCTTGCTCGTGAATGAAATAGGTTTGGGCTCTATTCTCCAACACCATCAGACATGTAGTGAAATCTGAAAGCAACGAAAGAGACCAAAAAGAAGGTGGGCCATTAATTTACTTGTACGTGTAGGCATCAAAATCACCCACGTTAACTGTTGACAAAAACATTTGGGTCATACCAAAAAGAGTAGAAAATTGAATAATTTTTTTTTTTCACACTACGGTGAGGAGAAAAATGTAGAATAACACAAGCAATGTAATAAAGGGAAATAAATAAATAAAAATCATTTAAAATGCATCGCTTCATTTAAAAATAAAATAAAAATTATTGAATAAAAAGAGAGACTCTTCCTAGTCCTAAAATTTGGTAGAGATCAGATATGAGTGGATTCAGATTAAAAAATATGGAATTGAAACAATTCAATTATTTATCAATTTGCGTTGTTTTTAATAGTCTTATGGGTTGGACGAGGGGTTTAAATTAGTTCTAAAAGTTGAAGATGAAGCACGAAAAAGATGAAATATGGTCGGAGAAAAATAAAATATCATTAGTGCAACAGAAAAGAGAAAAAAATGAAAGAGAAAGAAAAAAAGTTAGGCTAAATGTGTGTGGCTGTGCTCAAGAGAAAGACAAATTTGAGAAAGGAAGAAGTTATAGACTATTAGCTACATGACGGTGGATTCTAATATCCTCCCTTCTTGTGTAAAAAGTAA